CAACGTGATCTGGGGCGACACTGTAGCCGGCCAGCAGGGCCCCACCTCCCTTGCGCAAGAAGGGACTGGGGGTGTCGGGTACCGGTAGTCCCACCCCGCCCGGTTCCCGTCGCACGTGCTAGGGCCAAACCTCAGCTGCAGACAAAAGCCCCCATCCCGCGAGCCCTGATCTGAGCAGAAGGCCCCTGGCTCCTGGCTCCTTTCCCCGCTACCGCCACTCTTCGGCTCCACGCTTACGTGCCCGCCGGACGCGGACGGCTAACCCTAGCACCTTCCACCTTGTAACTTTCTCGAGGTAACATTTTGGCGCCCTTTACACGTAAGTCTTCTGAACTTCTTTATTCATAGCAGCATAGCTTCTGAATTTCTAGCAACATGCCTCCGCTAAGGCATTTTTAAACCAAAAAAAAAAAAACGCCCTGAGTGGTGCAAATTGCTTTGTATTGACGTATTTTCAAAGGCGCAAAACGGAGCATGTTTTCAGAAATTCGGAATCTTTCAATTGTAGCGTGAATGCATTTTTAAGAAAAAAACAAACGAATTCTGTCATATTTTTGCGAGGCCACAAAAATAAACACATCTCTCTTTGTGTTTCCGTTTTAAAACAAACTGAATAGTGGCAATATAACGGTTTAATTGCTGGGGAACATGCATACTACTGATGTTCGTTGACGTGTGCCCAGAGCCGCATGGTCCGTGTCCATAGCCCGCTAGCGCAGTCGCAGCTGTCACGGCGCCAACCGGTCACCCGCCAGCAGTAGCGGCAGCAGCAGCAGCTCATGCATTATACAAATTAGGAGCGCGATAAGAATAGTTTTACTGACCAAGCCGGCCGGGGGCGCTGCACTATACCGTTCGAAAACACGACGGCCATGAAACTGAGATTTTCGCGTCTCTCACCGTGTCATAAACGGTACAACATCGGGAGCGGGGCGGCAAGCTTCCGCCGCCGTTAAAGCAGCTGATGCGAACGAGCGATTGTTTTGTGGCGGCACCGGCACCTGCTGGGGGGAAGTAAGTACAGCCTAGCGCAGAGTTGCCCTCTCCAGACTCTGCGCGGCCACCAACGCCTCTCGTCTCTCTCTCTCTCTCTCTCTCTCTCTCTCTCTCTCTCTCTCTCTCTCTCTCTCCTCCCTCCCTCCCCTTCTCTCTCTCCCTATCTC